CCAGCCTATGTTTCGCTCCCTTTGTCACTTTGCAGAGCTTCCTACTCTGCAAGCACTTTCCAGAGGACTGCCACTCCTCACCTGCTTTTCAAATCTCCCCTCAAAATTTCTAGGGCAACAAGTTGCTGGGAACCCAGCTTCTTACTTTTTGCAAATAGTTAAAGAGGGAGAAAGAAGGAGGGAAGGAGAGGGGAGAGAGAAGCAGGGAAGGGAGAGAGAAAGAAAGGAAGAAAAGAAGGAAAGGTAAATAAATAGTAATGCACAAGTTAGAAGCAGCAATGAGAGAAGAGTAGCTGGTTCCTGTTCTCAGCCACCCTGCTCTCAATGGGGGACTGGACTACAGTTTTATGTCTTCCATAGTTACAAGGAAGTAAGCAAAGTGACTGTTTTTAGATCATTTGAGATTTTTCTCAGTGCAATGTATGACCATTGGTGTAGGGACTAAGTTTTACTATCTTTACTTTTGTACTTTCTTTGTAACAAAACAGATGAAATAAAATTATTATTCTCCATGTGACCTTCCAATTAATGTGAACCCACATTCATCTTAAACTCTAATTAAAATTGAACACTTTGGACATCCCCATTATGTTGTGGTTATATCACAAAAGAAATAAAGTTCCAAAACGATGACAAAAATATGACAAAATAGACTTACACCTTGATGACACTTCAACCTGCTAATAAACTCTTAAATACATTTTCGTGTATAAAAATTCTGAAGGGACTTCCAACTCCTGCTACTGAAGTAGATATATTGCAACAAACTCCACAGTTCAGTCCCAATCTACCAAACATAAAATTGCTCCGCCATCAGAAAGGAAGGAAGCATATAAAATGCCACTGCACCCTCATTCTTCCATCCCTTAGCCATATAAGGACTCATCTGTGTTTACAACACTAGGACTCCATGAGGTAGGATTGCAGTTTTGTCGGGTTCAATTTTAAAAGCCATAAGTCCACTGTAGATAGAGAGGGATGAGCGGAGCGGAATAATGACAGAGGTCCTTGTTGGAGAGCAAGATGGGGACCAGTGGCCCACCTTCGGGATACTGAGGCCCCATATGGCATTCGGGAGGACAGCACATTTTGCTTACTTATGGTGGGCACAGGTAAGTGACCTCTAACAGAAAACAGCCCAGGGCTAAGTGATTTCATCCCCACCCTCATCCTCATGTACAATTCAGTGTGAAAAGGACAAGGACCAGGAAAAGATCTTATTAAAAGGATTACCTGCTGGCCAGAACTCACTGCAATCAGATCAACAAGCTATTGTTTCTAGAGGCCTCTCTGAGCACCTGGAATGACTTTATTAAACAAAACTTCCCTTTGTAACAGGATTTTACCTGATTGGACCTCTGAGACTAGCAATTTGGAAAGAAAAGACCGTCCTGTGAAAAACACCTTATACATAAACATCCCAAAGCAAAAATCTGAGGAAAAAAGCTGAACTACTGGAAGAGAGAGTTGCATCTGAATAAGACTACAGTGCTATCATTTAAAAAACATATTGCATAAGAAGGGTATGATCGGGCTTTATTCGATTTGACACTTCCATTCTTTTTCAAAATGGGGTATTGTGTTAAGGACACAGGCATAGTGGTTTTTACAAAGTTACTGTGGCCCCAAGACTGTCTAAGGTCATTGTATTAAATTGCTTTTCACTGCCCGACCAGTTTTTGCTTCTACAACTTGCTGAGTTCTCAAGGGTTTTGGAAACCACACCACAAAAGAGAGTTTAGAAATGTAGTTGATTATAATCTAATCTATAAATTCAACTACCAAAGGAATGGAGTTGCTTCTTTAATGAAGTGAATAATGAGAGGACAGTTCCACATACTTGGGATGCTCACATTGTTTTCTACTAATTAGGTAAACCTAGAGCAGAGCAAGTATTCTGACTAGACACTTACAGGGCAGTTTCATGCAGTGTCTGATCCTATACTAAAGAAAGAAAGAAAAATGTGTTACCTACCAAGGGCCTTACTGGCTTAACATATATTATTGGAATATGAATGGCAAAGTATTATAACCATTTTAAATTTATTAAGCTTGATAACTGCACTGTTTTTTTTTAAGAGAATATTCTTATTGTTAGGAAACACTGAAATATTGAGGGGTTAAGGGTCATGAGATGATTCAGAAACATTATTTCTGAAAATTATTACACACGGATACATGTGTACATATGCACATGCTTATATATATGTTGTATATTTTATGTAACATTATATAATATATAATAAACTATTCTGTTATACATATTTTATAATATAAAATCTCTCTATATTTTTATAGAAAGAGCAAATGATAAAGCAAAAGGGCAAAATGTTAATAACAAGTCAATCTGGGCAAATATGCAAATACTCTTTGTACTATTCTTCCAACTTTTCCATACGCTTAGACTTATGTGCAAAGAAAAGTTGTTCTAAAAAAAGAAGGGGGGGCCGGGAGCAGTGGTATGAAAATTAAATTCAATCAAAAAGGATTTGAGACCGGGCATGGTGGCTCACACCTGTAATCCTAGCACTCTGGGAGGCCGGAGAGGGAGGATTGCTTGAGTTCAGGAGTTCAAGACCAGCCTGAGCAAGAGTGAGACCCCCGTCTCTACTATAACTAGAAAGAAATTAGCCAAACAACTAAAAATAGAAAAAAATTAGCCAGGCACAGTGGCACATGCCCATAGTCCCAGCTACCTGGGAGGCTGAGACAGCAGGATTGCTTGAGCCCAGGAGTCTGAGGTTGCTGTGAGCTAGGCTGACGCCACCACGGCACTCTAGCCCAGGCAAGAGAGTGAGACTCTGTCTCAAAAAAATAAATAAATAGAAGGGGGAATTAAGGCTTTCCCCACACAGGTTTCCAGCAAAGAGTTGTCTCAGTCAAGTCTATGCAGCCTTTTTACCAAATAGAAAGTTGGTGGGCCTCAGTCTCATTTTCACTTGGCTTTTGACCATTCGCTTGAATCACCAAGGGGAAGCAAAATGATTTTCTTTTTAACTTTCTCTAAATTTTCTATGGTAAAAGTAGCATTTGCTTAGTACAGAAAACTTGAGGAAAGTACAGAAACTAATAAACTTTAAACTAATAAAGAAAAAAAACATACATAATCCCCACCACACTGGAAAAAAATTGTCATTTTGGCATATTTCTTTTCAGTCTTTATTCTAAAGTTTTAAGAAAACTGGTAATATGTTATATAAAGTATGTAGCAGCTTGGGTGTTTTCCTCTTTAACCAAGTATAAACATTTTCCTATGTCACACCTAAAAGCAAAAACTTCATAAAATCTTCAATGTCAACATAATACTCCATTATATGGATAGGCCATAATTTACACAGTTATTTCCCTAAAACTATCCCTTTGATTGTTTCCAATTTTTATTATATATAATGCTGATTTAAAAGTTTAAGATCTATTGCTGATAATGGGTTAGCTAAGAAAGAAAAAGAAAAAAAAAATAAAAGTTTAAGATCTTTGTGCTGAAATCTTTTTTTCAGTATTTCTGCCTTACATCTTCATGATAAATTCACAAAAATGGAATGGCTGGGTCAAACAGTATAAAGATTTTTACGTCTTCATACAAAATGCCAACCAATGCCAACCTGGGTTTTTTAGAAAAGTAGGCATCTTTGAGGGGAAAGGAGACATGTGAATGGAATTATCAAAACTGGTTGAGGCCGAGAGTGGTGGCGCTCGCTTGTAATCCTAGCACCATGGGAGGCTGAGGCAGACAGGTTGCTTGAGCTCAGGAGTTTGAGACCAGCCTGAGCAAGAGCAAGATCCCATCTCTACTAAAAAACAGAAAAAATTAGCCAGGCATGGTGGCGCATGCCTGTAGTCCCAGCTACTTGGGAGGCTGAGGCAGGAGGATCACCTGAGCCCAGGAGTTTGAGGTTGCTGTGAGCTAGGCTGATGCCATGGCACTCCAGCCTGGGCAACAGAGTTGATACTTGGACTCAAAAAAAAAAAAAAAACTGGTTGAGATTTTACTTAGCATTTGCAGAAAGGGAAGTTACTGCCACAGTCTGAAAACTGCAGTTCTTCAGATCAAACTTAGCTCTGGGACAAGTTCTGTAAACTATGTTTTGCCCTCAAAAGAGGAAAGACCAAAATATTCCAGCCTGAATCAACACACACTGACCACTAGGTAAGAGATGTGAGGGCCAGCATCCGATGACGACCCACATAGTATGCTTTCGGTGTCTATGTTCAAAAGGAACATCCTATTCTCCTGATTAGAAACAGGATCCTAAAAATTTAAGTGCAAAAAAAAAAAAATGTATATGTGAGGAAAGTGATAGGAATCTAAAAAAAAGCAGGGTTCAAATTCAAAAATGCAAACTTACAAAAACCATACAACAAGTTGGGTTTTGCCCCCTTTAGTTTTGTAGTATAGAAAAAGCAGGGGCTCTGAGCAAGGCCTTCACCTGAAAGGTAAAAACTATACTGAACCGCTAAACTCACTTTCTTGCACCAAAACCAACGGCACCCTCAGGGATCCAACATCTGAGCTTTCCAGAATCTTCTCCTGTACTTCACATACTGCACGGACACATGTATGCTCAGAGCTCTAAGCAACTCTTAATTGTTTCAATTATTCAGAGTCAAGAGTCAAGAGTCTACAGCCATCTGTCCTGAACAAACAACTAGCCTCTTGTTTAGGTCAATGTAGCCAAACCTCTCTGAACTCAGTTTTCTCCTTTGTTAAACGACAAGGCTAAACGAAGTCCCTAAGGGTCACTCTTAGGTCTCAGGTTTTGCAATGTTCTCCTATTTTAAAGGTGCCAGGGGGGAAAAGGAGAAGGAGAAGTTATGCTCTGAATGCATGACTTCGAACAAGATGATCCGTCTCATTTTCTAAGACACGATTACATTGGGTAGCATTTGGTTTACAAAAAGAGATTCCATAAACTATGCATTTCCCATCCCATCAGAAAACAAGTAGTAGGGGCAAAGAGGCAGGGAGATCTGTCAGCAAGGAGGAAAGAGAGAAGGCTCACCATGGCCGTTGCAGTAGTAGATCCACTTCTCCCGGTGCTGAGTTGGAGTCACGGATTTCTTCAGCCCTGCCTTTTCCACAATGGCGCTGGGATCCTGCCGGGGCCCCTTTTTCAGAGTCCTTGAGCTTTTCCGGATACTGCACACTACGATGACCACAAGCACCAGCAGCAGGAAGAGCACAATCATCCAGGGCAGATGCTCATTGATGTCAAAATGCTTGTGCAGGTTCTGCCTGGGGTGGGCCCTCTTGGGGCCCTTCATGGGCGTGCTGGACTTCTCGCCCCCGGTGGCCTCCATGGACGGCAGCAGCTTCAGGATGTGTCTGTGGTGGGGGCCTTGCTGGTGGGTGACTACCTGGAGTTTCGGGAGGGTCTTGTTCATGCCTTCCTCCCCGCTTGCTGAGCTTGTGTTGTCAGGGACTGTCCCTTCCTGGATGCCACTCGGTACCTTTGGTCTAACAGAGGCAGAAGAGTTGGATTCTGTTGAGTTCATGCCTAGAAAAAAGAGTAAGGAGGGGGAAGAGCTTTTCCATATTTGGGGATCTATATATTCCCTCCTCTCCCTCGTCATCTCCAAACTAGGCCAGATAATCAAAGAAGAGATGACCTGTGGGGCTTATGAATACATTATATTGCACATTTTCATAGAGGCCCTAACAGCGCCTTCACCTGAAAGGTAAAAACTAAACTGAACCGCTAAACTCACTTTCTTGCACCCAAACCAATGGCACCCTCAGGGATCCAACATCTGAGCTTTCCAGAATCTTCTCCTGTACTTCACATACTGCACGGACACATGTATGCTCAGAGCTCTAAGCAACTCTTAATTGTTGCAATTATTCAGAGAACTAGTTCAAATTTAACTCCTTTGTTCGTGCTCCTCTTTCTCTAGCTTTGGACTATTTCATGATGCAATGGTAAAACTGTGAATACGACTAAGAGAAAGAAAAGATCTCATATGCAAATCCAAGTTTGACTAGGGAAAGGTTTGTGGACAGGTCTGTGAATGAAAGCAGCAGGACTTCCTTATCATCTGTATCAGTCCCTGAGAAAATCTGGAGTGCCTATCTGAGCTTTCCAAGCCTGTTTCTTCAGTTCAAAACGACAGTGGTAAGAAGGCTGTGCTTACAGGGTTATCACAAAGCTCAAACCTAATCACACACAAGAGTATGCCAGGGAGCAAACTCGAGTTGGTTATCAGCTCATGAAAATTACATTCAATCAAAAAGGATCTGAGGCTGAGCACGGTGGCTCACGCCTGTAATCCTAGCTCTCTGGGAGGCCGAGGTGGGCGGATTGCTCGAGGTCAGGAGTTCGAGACCAGCCTGAGCAAGAGCGAGACCCCGTCTCTACTATAAATAGAAAGAAACTAATTGGCCAACTAATATATATAGAAAAAATTAGCCAGGCATGGTGGCGCATGCCTGTAGTCCCAGCTACTCGGGAGGCTGAGGCAGGAGGATTGCTTGAGCCCAGGAGTTTGAGGTTGCTGTGAGCTAGACTGACACCACGGCACTCTAGCCTGGGCAACAGAGCGAGACTCTGTCTCAAACAAAAAAAAAAAAAAAAAAAAATAGAAAGAAATTAGCTGGACAACTAAAAATATGTAGAAAAAATTAGCTGGACATGGTGGCTCATGCCTGTGGTCCCAACTACTCGGGAGGCTGAAGCAGGAGGATTGCTTGAGCCCAGGAGTTTGAGGTTGCTGTGAGCTAGACTGACACCACGGCACTCTAGCCTGGGCAACAGAGCTAGACTCTGTCTCAAACAAAAAAAAAAAAAAAAAAAAGGTTATGCTTTGTTTTTGTTATTGTTGATGTTGTTAACATTGGAGTTGGCCTTTTCAGTCCTTGATTTTGACCTTTTTGATGACCTGTCTCTAGCCCGGGTAACAGAGTGAGATTCTGTTTAAAAAAAAAAAAGGATTTGAAAATAAAGGCTAAATTTTATATTCTGCTTGAGATTCAGACAGTTTTGCATACTTGACGAAAAGCATAAAGTTAAAATCACTGGAAAAATATAAAGTTATTATTTTCCAGATGTGAATGTTAACTATTGCCTTCAATCTGATACAAATTTGCTTATTTCCTGAAACTTCTAATTTTCCTGTCTCCCTTCTTGATATAATGACATTTTCTCCCTTTTTCCCTCTTTCTCTCCTCTGGCTGTGTCTCCCCAAAACTGACTCCATGTTGGAAAACTTTTAATCTGGAAGGAACCTTAAACATTTAAATCACTCATTTATTTGACAAGTTGGAAGCCGAGGCCTAAAGAGGTTAAATGACTTACATAAGGTCACACAAGCTGCCCTTGTTTCTCTCAGTTCTTATTATGTGACCTAGTTCTTAGATATTTGATCTCCCCTAATAGAAAACTTCTGAGTCTAAATGTTTCTAATAAGTCCAAAGAAGTCAGATTTAATTACCCACAAAACGAAGGTCTCTTTCTCCAAGCAGTGACTTTGACTTTGAAATACACAAAATGGAGACAATATCCTTGGTACAAGCCCACTCTTGGTACCTCCACTATGGGCTCAAAGCCTTTCTCAAATAAATATCTCATGAGGGCCAGGTGTGGTGGCTCACGCTTGTAATCCAATTACCCTGGGAGGCCGAGGCGGGAGGCTCATTTGAGTTCAGGAGTTCGAGACCAGCCTGAGCAAGAGCAAGACCTCCGTCTCTACTAAAAAAAATAGAAAGAAATTATCTGGACAACTAAAAAATATATATATATATTAAAAATTAGATGGCCATGGTGGTGCATGCCTGTAGTCCCAGTTACTCGGGAGGCTGAGGCAGGAGGATCGCTTGAGCCCAGGAGTTGGAGGTTGCTGTGAACTAGGCTGATGCCACAGCACTCTAGCCTGGGAGACAGAGTGAGGCTCTGTCTCAAAAAAAAAAAAAAATCTCAGGCCAGGCGAGGTGGCTCACACCTGTAATCCTAGCACTCTGGGAGGCCAAGGCGGGCGGATTGCTCAAGGTCAGGAGTTCGAAACCAGCCTGAACAAGAGCGAGACCCTGTCTCTACTACAAATAGAAACAAATTAATAGGCCAACTAATATATGTAGAAAAAAATTAGCCGGGCATGGTGGCACATGCCTGTAGTCCCAGCTACTCGGGAGGCTGAGGCAGGAGGATTGCTTGAGCCCAGGAGATTGAGGTTGCTGTGAGCTGGGCTGACGCCACGGCACTCACTCTAGCCTGGGCAACAAAGCGAGACTCTGTCTCAAAAAAAAAAAAACTTATGAGGCTAAGTTACCTTTGGGAACATAAGTGGAGGAAGGGACTTCATGGGAGTCCGTGTGCTCGGGACGTGAAAAGATGGCTGTGCTGGGGGAAGGCGAGGCGGTGCTAGAGGACGGGAGTGTGCCACAGACGTTGTCTGCCTCCTTGGTCCCCGGCTTGACCACCACCAGGTTCTGACTCAGACAGTCTGTGTATGCTTTGCATTTCATCACACTAGAAGGCACATCGGAGAAGGTACCCCGAGCACACTGCTTACACCGCACGTCCTCGGTCTCAGTCCCTTTCTTCCGCACACCCCAACCCACAGGACACACGGTGTGGGGGGCGCAGGTGGCGTTAAACTGGAACATGCCAGGTGGGCAAGTGCATTCTCGGTCAGTCAAGGCAGCACAAGGTAATTTCTCAACCATTGGCCATGGGCACGGCTGACTACAGTCATGGCATCTCTCTATGCCATTCTCATGCCTGGTGAAGGTCCCCGCGGGGCAACTGCTGCAGACGCGCAGGCTTGTGTTGGTACAATGCTCGGAGACGTAGGTTCCTGCTGGGCACTTGTCACAGGTAAGCACCTGGCCTGTGGCACGGTCAACGTGGCGGTATGTGCCAACGAGATTCGGGGCCTTCTGTTCTGGCTGAGCCGTGGTGCTGCTAAGAAATCCAAGCTGAAAGAAATCAAAGGGGAGGGGGAAGGGACAAAAACCAAGAAGGTGTTAGAGAGGAGCAGAGGAGAAGAAAGGACCCATTAAACCAGCGCTGCCCATCGTCTTTCCTGTTGGAGACAGGGCCGGTCCTGCACCCTCTTGGCACTACTGCTGCTATATGGCAAAAAAGAGAGAAACAAAGACTTGGATTCCACCCTAGCACTTGACCTACTGGCTGTGAAGTTTTGGTCTCATTGTCTGACCTTTGCTTCGGCTCCCTTTCTTTCCATCTGTAAAATAAAGCTGACAAAACCTCTCAAATTGATTATAAGAATTGATTGAGACTATGTACGTGAAAGCACTCTGTTGCTAGTATCAAAAAATGCCATATATACTAGTCAAAACCCCAAAGCAAGAAAAAAAACAACTTTGTGAAAGCTGTCATTTCCTAATACCAGGACAAAGCAAGCGAGAACCAGGAAGGCATATATTCAAGCTGCCATCTCCGCAGCACCCAATTGCCTGCCTGGGGTTAATCCAATTTCGTGGCACGGATTTTTTTTTTTTTTTTTTGGAGGTTTTCTCTATGGGAAGCTGAATTTTTTTTTTTTTTTTGCAAGACAGAGGCAAGCCCTTGGCATTCTTGGTAATGTGCTATGTGCTTGAAACAAGAGAGTTGATGCTTTTAGAGTCACATGCTATTTGTTCAACCTCTGAAGGCCACAGCCACCAAAGCAAGGACATGCAACCACCTAGGCGCCCAAGCACAAAGCTGGGTCGAGCAAGAGGGACCCAACAGACATTTAAATTTCATTCACAGAACAGAGACTTCGCCCAGCTAGAAAGGATTTTCCATTAGTTTCCAGAATGAAATCTTGGGGCCCAGGAAATTATATCTGTGGTACTGAATCCTGAGGTCCTTCTGAGAAGAGGGTGGTAAACGTATTAAAAGAAAGCTTTCCTGCACTAGAGAAGATCGAGGGGTTCCGGCAGCGTTCACTGCCCTCTATAAAATGGACAAAGTTCATGTAGCAAGAAAATAATGGCTGCCTCAAACTGCCAGCTCCCTGACACGGCAAATGCCTTCTAACTTCGCCCCTGTACAAGTAACTGAGAGAATAAAGCAAGAATTTTTTCAAAGCGATCAGAGTTTCTGTCCTCTTAGCACCTTGACCACCCAAGATTCAATTCCTTCCCCTCCAAAATTTAACTATTTGACCCCAAAGTATCTGCTTTGAATTCCTTTACCCTATCCCAGAGTTGGCCCCGCTAAATGACAATATTGAAAACTAATTTTCAGCTTATGAGAATGCATTTATTTTCTTCTATAATCTAAGACTAAAAAAAAAAAAAAAGGATAGTGGTTGATTTTCTTATTAAGAAACTTAGGCCAGGCATGGTGGCTCATGCTTGTTAATCCTAGCACTCTGGGAGGCTGAGAAGGTAGGATTGGTCAAGGTCAGGAGTTCAAAACCAGCCTGAGCAAGAGCAAGACCCCCATCTCTACTAAAATTAGAAACAAATTAATTGGCCAACTAAAAATACATAGCAAAAAAAAAAAAATTACCCTAGCATGGTGCCACATGCCTGTAATCCCCACTACCTGGGAGGCTGAGGCAGGAGGGTCGCTTGAGCCCAGGAGTTTGAGGTTGCTGTGAGCTAAGCTGATACCATGGCACTCTAGCCTGGGCAACAGAGTGAGATTTTGTCTCAAAAAAAAAAGAAGAAGAAGAAGAAGCTAACCTCATCTTAGAGCCCCAAGAAAAAGAATCCTTTGCCTAACAATAAATTCTGTAATGTCTTCCCTTTTCATTCTGGCTTTAACTTTTTTATTTTTTCTTGTTCATTCTATTTGGAAAATAAGCCACAGTCACCCTCTTCTGAGCACGGCAGATGCACTGGGTAGAAGGAACTGTTCTGTGGAGCCCAAGTTCCTTTTGGCAAGTGTACGAAGGACAAGATTAGACCTAATCTCCCCAGCACTAACGATCTGACCCAAGAGGTTGCAAAAGTGGCTCTGTTCTATACTTCCCGGAGTTCTTTATTATCTAGCGTCTACGTGCAAAAGCAGCTCTAGATGGCTGCGGTGTTCTGAAAGTTTGCAAGATGGGTAAGTAACCCAAATGGCAGGTTGTCACACTTTATTTATTTATTTATTTATTCATTTATTTATTTTTATTTATTTATTTTTGAGACAGAGTCTCACTTCTGTTGCCCGGGCTAGAGTGAGTGCTGTGGCGTCAGCCTCGCTCACAGCAACCTCAAACTCCAGGGCTCCAGCAATCCTCCTGCCTCAGCCTCCCGAGTAGCTGGGACTACAGGCATGTGCCACCATGCCCGGCTAATTTTTTCTATATATATATTTTTAGTTGTTTGGCTAATTTCTTTCTATTTTCAGTAGAGAGAGGGTCTTGTTCTTGCTCAGGCTGGTCTCGAACTCCTGAGCTCAAAGTATCCTCCCGCCTCGGCCTCCCACGGTGCTGGGATCACAGGCCTGAGCCACTGTGCCTGGCCAGGCTGTCACACTGTAAATGAAAGCATAGAACCAAACTCGAGATCTAGCCAGGGGATGTTGACCATGGACTAACACCACGCTGATGTGCTGTGTGATCTATTAATACACCTGCCTAATCCTACCTGTGTGGGAGACTGGGCAGTCAGCCACACACACACCCAGGGTATAGACTTCTAAATCTATGGTAGGGGACAGTAGGTCCTGCATGAGTCCCCTGATCATTAACGTACCAGAGATCTCCCTCGCTGTACACAAAACCTACTTTACAACCCCACTGCCCTCACACTTTTTCACGCTTTAAGTGGATTTTATAGCTCTTTGCTCATTTGGAATAACAGATCAGATCAAGTTTCTAATTAAAGCAACGTTCAGGGCTGCTTAAACTATATCATACTGGGTAACCCACTTTAGACATTGTGTCTCTAAAAATGGACCTCTAAATTACTTCATACTGTAGCAGGCAACTCCAGCTCCTACAAACAGAGCTAACAAAGAGTGATACCTCTGCAGACTTGCCTGGGCTGAACACTAGAAATTAAATTCGTGCAAAAACCAGACACTATGAATTCACTGGACGAATATTTATTGAACACCTTCCAGGTGTGTGCAAGGCAGACACGGCTGGGGACAGAACCTTAAGAATGCTGTTCCAGGCTGGGTGCAGTGGCTCACGTCTGTAATCCTAGCACTCTGGGAGGCCAAAGCGGGAGGATCGCTCAAGGTCAGGAGTTCAAAACCAGCCTGGGCAAGATCGAGACCCCCGTCTCTATTAAAAATAGCAGGAAATTAATTGGCCAACTAAAATATATAGAGAAAATATTAGCCAGGTATGGTGAGACATGCCTGTAGTCCCAGCTACCCGAGAGGCTGAGGCAGAAGGATTGCTTGAGCCCAGGAGTTTGAGGTTGCTGTGAGCTAGGCAGATGCCATGATACTCTAGCCGGGACAACAGAGTGAGACTCTGTCTAAAAAAAAAATAATGCTGTTCCAGCCCTTATGAAATTTGCATTCTAAGGTGTGACGGACAAAACACTACTATATCAGTAATTACTTGACTAGAATTGAGATTACTGCTGAGAAGGAGACATAGAGTCTGATGGGAGGGGCTGTACCAGGTGCTTCCTGGCTCAGGGAAGTTAGAGAAATGTTTCGATGTAGTTTTTAAAAATGAAGAAGTAGAAATGAACTCCAGGCAGGGACAAGTAGAGGGGGATTGGGCAGAGGGAACTCCAGAGCAAAAGTATGAAGCACAAGGAAGCTCAGCTCAGGAACTTTTAAAAAGCTTGTGGTTCTATCTTAAGATGCAACAGGTGGCCACAGTTAAATTTAAAGGGGCTCTACGTTGTGATCTTAACCCAAAATGCAATGAGAAGTCATTATATGCTTATATGGGGGGAGGGGAGCGCATAATCACATTTATGAATATAAAAGTTATCTGGGCCGGGCATGGTGGCTCACACCTATAATCCTAGCATTCTGGGAGGCCGAGGAGGGAGGATCATTTGAGCTCAGGGGTTCAAGACCAGGCTGAGCAAGAGTGAGACCCCATCTCTACTAAAAAAAAATAGAAAGAAATTAACTGGACCAATAAAAAGTATATATAGAAAAAATTAGCCGGCCATGGTGGCGCATGCCTGTAGTCCCAGCTACTTGGGAAGCTGAGGCAGGAGGATTGCTTGAGCCCAGGAGTTTGAGGTTGCTGTGAGCTAGGCTGATGCCACAGCACTCTAGCTGGGACAACAGTCAGACTCTGTCTCAAAAAAAAATAAATAAAAATAAAAAGTTATCTGGCTGCAGGGTGGAAGGTGAAAGGGAGGTGGGGGGAAGGAGAGTAGATGAGAAAATTGACTTAGAAGGTAAGAGCCAAGGTGGAAGTTGGCGTGGATCTGGACTACAGTGGTAGCCGTGGAAACGGAGAAAAGGAGACTGTTTTGAGGGTTTGCATCAGCTGGATTTGGTGCATTTTTACTTAAAGCAGGGGAAACGGGAAGAAATCAGTGGTTTTCAAATAGGACTCAAAAGGGTACTGGACAGAACACAGCCCTCTGAGCTGCCCCTCAGGCCAGGGAGGGATGGAAGGTCGGCTCCAAGCCCCCACCTCTGCCTGAAATAGAGCGACTCAGCTTTACCAACTTGCTAATGGGGCTTCCAAGAAGGAATCCTCTTGAGGGAGGGAGTATTCCTGAAACAAGTCTGAAAATCACTGAGCTAGAGGGACCCCTAAGGCCTCTTCCAATTCTAAAGTAAAGGGCTAAATCCATCCATGCTACAAAGTGGGAGGAACTGCCCCACGGGCTCTCCCTTTCCTTGCTGAAACCCTGCTGAGAGGAAGAGGTGACCATGTCCCTTTCTCTGCGTGGAGACACCTGGGAAAAGTTATTCTCCTAAGGCCTTCAGTGGACTCATGATCTAAAACTAGACCTTTTCTCACCAGCCTGGTGGCAACACCCTGATTTCTAAGAAAATTAAAACATTGTAAAAATCATTCCCAAAGATTTTTGGGGTG